AGTGTCTCAAAGAGCCTCAGTAAAGGAAGTCCTACTCGTGGTGACGTTTTCCCACCAAAGTGAGAGGATGAAAAGTCAACATCCGGGGCTATAAGCGGATCGGTGAACCACTGTCAGTTCACCTAAGGGAGTTCGCTAAAAGAAATTAGATTCCAAACCAATTAAGGAGTGTACGAACCACATACACATACCTTCTTGGTTGCGATAGGTCACCGGCTCGATTGGGCATATAGGTATATTGGACACATGGGGCGTTGGACCCTGTAAAAAGGAATTACGAATCGATGACCCGGAAACCGGTACCCAATGGATTATGGTTTTCACACACCACCCCGTTGCCTTCTGGGTGAGACTGGCTAGTCAAAAACCCCAGTTGTTAATTCCACGAGAAAATTCACTTAACTTGGTCTGGGCAACTTGACAGTATCGAGTACACCAGCAAATCGTGAAACTTTTTTTCTAAAGATTATTGAACTGCGATTTGTTTGGCACACTGCTAAGAGAAAAAGCGATGTTTATACAGGATTACAAGATATAAGGTTAAGTGACTGAAATGCACAATCCCAAGAAGTTTGACGCGTTCGAAAGTTGCACTTATCGGAGAAAAAATGTTGACCTCTCTCAACCGGATTAATGGACGATGAAGAGTTTAAGAAAATTGAATCGACTAATCGAGCTCCTAAGTGGCTGCCCGCCTTAAGAAAAAAGCAAGGAAACAAAATGTGAGTTGCATAGAAACGGTAGTCACGAAAGTAAGAAAAGCTAACGACGGAGAAAATCGCATTCATCTTCTGAACAAGTGCGCTTGCGTGTCTGCTACTTTCAAGTTGGAAAATGGGAACGACAAGAGTGGTACAGATGAGAGAGGACTGATCGGATCCGATGAAGCGCGAATAACGAGGTTTGGCAAACGGTAATTTAGGCTTCGCCTTGGAAGTGCACAGTTCCCAAAACCGTTTTTGAATATCACTTATGCGAAACAGAAAATGATTAAATGAAAGGGCATCTGAAAAACAGACACGTGCAACGATAGCAACAACAATAACTGCGATATTTTAAGGTGTGCTTGACGTAGGCTTTGTCCATCGTTCGAACGATCTGAGGCCAGTTAAGTAGATGAATGAACATGGAATAAATAGCCCTTAGCTAAACGCACTGAGGTTTGACTAAAAGTGGATTTGGAGTGCCCACTCGATAAGCAAACAAGCGAAGAGGGAGCAGTTGAACGAAAAGAACTGAGAACAACAAACGAATATCCACTAGGAGTTTGAACGGCGAACTTGTTATCTGAGTGAGTATGCGAATTACCTCACAGTCAAAAATCACTCTTAAGTAAACATATGAACCGATTGAAAACTATGAAAACGGTGTTTTTATAGTCGCGTATGTTCATTAGATTGATATTTTATAACACGATCAGGGTCGGATTCACTCACGCCAACTGGTAATTTAGCCCTTGCGATGACTTGGGGTGACGAATCTAATAGGGCCCCGACGACAGGTGAGGTGAGGGGCTGAATCCAGTCCATGCCCGAAATCGATTGGCAGTGGGAATGTTTGGAAAGTCAATACAGGTCAGCGATAGCTACTTAAAACCATCCATACTGGGCCACTACGTCATCCCTGTCACCTGCATCCGTTGTGTATAAGGAACCTAACCGCATAAGTTAAGAGTTTTATCAAACCCAATCGTTTTTAACACGTTCCATATTTCACGTTCCATTTTTTGGACATGTTGCCGTTTTTGCGTGCCATCACGAATCATGAAAACAATCTCCAATGACGTGCGAACAAAAATACAACGGACAATCGCAGTGGATTGTTTGCCAGATAAGTTGGTTATCGGCGGTGCAACGTATCACATGATCGGGGTAAAAATAAAAACAATCACGAATGGACACGCACGCCCAAGAAGATTTGACCACTGACTTTTTCGTCTCTATTTCCACTGGGTCTGATGTTGAATTATTCAGAAATTGGTTAGCCAATGAATTCACGTTTATTTGATCAAAATGGTGGGTAGGAATTTAAAACAAACCATGAATTTAAGCAATTCTTCGACTAGCTGATCCCATACAAACGTGCAAGAGTAAGAATGAGGTTGATTGCTTACACGGAAACCGAAATGAGAATAGAGAGAATATTCCACGTACGTGAGAGACTAAGCAGGGCATAATCAATGGCACATGATCATATGAGTTAGGCAACACAAAGCACGAGAATGTAGCAGTTCGATAATTCACTAGAATCAGACATCGAAACTCGTGTTCGGACTAGTTGTAACATACCTTCATCGTGCAAACGAAAACAGGGTCCAATATGCGCTATTTCACCGCCGCCCTCAAAATAAAAAACGCTAAGTGACGCTGGGGAAATCTCTCGTACCAAACTCCCAATTAACTTCATGATCATATCTTCTACGGCGGTAATCAGAGATGTTCATGGAGTCGGCTTATCGTTTCCAAGGAGACAGCCATAGTAAAGTTAAAAAATTAGTTTGTGCAGATACACATTGGCTAAACAGGTTAAAAATTTAGGTCTAAACCAATTACTTTACCATAGAAACTTGAAACGCTTTATGGTAAAAACTCATGAAACCTGTTATGACCAAGCCTTTGTGGGTTACTTATACACTAAGGAATGAGGTTTGCCTCGTCACATTTATCGAGAAAAGTAGCGGTTTGGTGCTGCTAAAGTCAGCCGTATGATAGTAAAATGTCTCTGAAGTAACAAACTGATGCCACATTTTCTGGACGGTTTGAGTGCCAGTATAACCATGTTTGGTATGCGTTTTGCACCTTCAAAGTACAAAATTTTGCTACAGGACTGGGTTGGTTCAACTCCCAGCCTCATTCTAACTGGGAAAGTAGCGGAGCGGACAAGTTTTGATATTTGGGCAACTATATCTCACCCGGTGGACACATCATGGATGAAGTGTGAACCCGTATACAGAAGGCTGGATTGGCAATGGTCAACTTGAGAGGTTTCCTCTTTCTTTGTCTTTTTCTTTGTACTTCCTTTTATTGAATACCGAATGTTCAAAATAAGACTGAAGTCTCATGTTGAAATTGTGAAAAGTTCAGTAGCCTTGGTGGGATTCGAACCCATACATGGACGACCCCTACGCTTTTGTGCAGAGCACGCTCTACCAGCTGAGCTACGAGTCCACAAGAATAGCGCTGATCTGTTCACGCTCAAATCACCAAACCAACTTACAGAGGAATATGACATCCACTAAGTAACATGTAAGCTGAATGCCACGACAGGTTTTCCTTAGAATTCACCGGAGCCCTCTAAATGAATTTCTACGCCTAGGTTAACTGCCATCGGTGTGGCCTCGTAGCTCAGCTGGTAGAACATCTGATGATAAAATTTTCAGGAAGGACTGTATATAACATACAATGGACAGTCAGGTGGTGGTGGGATTCGAACGCACGTTCTCCGGGAAGATAATTTAGTGACGATACCATCGAGCCATCGCCCCCGTCACGACTTCCGGCTTTCTGTGAAGAATCGAGTGCATACTGCCACAGTTCCATAGGGGCCTCTATACGGTGCAGAGACAAGAAGATAAAGATAAACTATCAGCTTTCGAACACCACTGTCTACGCTGCACTGCACGAGCCTCGAGGGGAAACCGGACAACATCCGGGATTATACCCAGGTCACTGAACCACTGGCAGTTCACCTGGCGGAGTGGGCTAAAAGCCAAACCAACCAAGAGGAGGCGTACGAACAACACACACCTTGGTTTTGGCAATGGTCACCGACTCAATTGGGCACCTTGGATGTTTGACCTCGTTCAAAGGGCGTAGGATCCGATGAACTGGACACTAGCCCCCAATGGATTGAGGTTTTTCCACACCGCTGCACTGCGAGTCAAACTTTGGCTAGTCAAAGGCTGCGGTAGTGGATTCTCAAAGAATATTCATCTGCTTTGAACTGGGTAACCTAGCAGTATCGCGCCCTTGAGCAAATCATGGAGCTATTTCTTTTGATAAAGATTATTGTGCCGTGATCTGTTAGGCACACAATCTGGGCCCAAACCTGAGTGAAAATAATATATACTAGGTAAGTAATACTGGTGTTAAGAGCAGAGGTATCGGTAACCCCGGTCATCCACTGAAACAAGTAGTCCACTTCTATATATCACGATCATTTGGGAATGCAATACGTGTATCATTGATGTGTCATGGCACGCAGATGATGGGTGAAAAAAATAAAGAGTGGCCAAACTAAGCCCTGGTATGAGGGTATGGAAACCCTGACCAGGAAAATTGCTCACTGATTACGTTAAACCTTCTAGATGGAGGATACGCATAACTGATGATTAGAGACACAGTGATATGCCGGAGTGTCGTAAACAGTGGAGCTCATGTATATTCTCAAGTTTTTTGCAACCTTGCAACCAGAATTCTACATTTTCTTTTCGACACTGCTTTCAACTTAGCACTCTTTTTTCTACGTCTTTATCCAAACGGACAGTCAAAAGAGAGAAACCAAAAAACGCTGTACGAAATTGCATGGCTAATGGTAGTAAAAACTGAACCTATGGACATGAAAAACATTACACGGAAGGTAATACGCAAAGACTTCTACAGCCGAGACGAAAAATGGAACTCTATGTGCCCCTAAGATTACCTATTAAACCACTACATGCAGTCAAGCATATTTAGGGCAAAATAATGTTCTAGTGAACGGGTAAAAAAAAGCATACTAACCAGTTACGCTGGCATGCGTCAATTCGATTCGACTAATATCTCGATCGACGTTTCCCACTTCGGGTAAATAGCCCTCGTGTAGACGATGCTGAACTAAGTCCTGTGGAGCTTGAAGCGATGTATGCCCAATTGAGATCAAATGTGCCCGGTAGTATAACAAACCACCATGACCGCTCGTTGCCCGGTTCCCCGTAGTCGTGGGTATGGTGACTAGCGGACTGACACTGAAGATACGCTGATATCCAATGGCTGATTGCAGTATGCTTTCTAGACTATCACGAATTCGTCGACGCCAGTTCATATCCTGTTCCGGAGTCAGATTGGTGTCATCCAAACGATTGTCCATCGGGCGAGGGTATAAGTCTTTTTCTGTTTGAAGACTATCCAACGCCAATGGGGTGGATGCAGTCGTTGTTCTTATGGCCAAAAGGATTGAATAAATAGCTAGTAAAGGGAAGACGGTAAGAAGAAATTAAATGAGCACCCATTATAGATACCGTTTACATGACGATGATTTTCATGAAGTATACTGATAATAAAAAGAATAATAACTTTCAGAAACTAAACCATATAACTGAACTGAATCCCGTTTCTCCTAGGAGGACTTCAGTGTCCCTACAGGTATAACCTGAAAAAGTACTCACTGACGTACCGTGAACGTGTTTCCGGAAAAGTGAGACGAGCCGCAGCCGGGTTGATGAACCACAAGGAGCTAATTTGACTTAGGGAGTACTGAGAACCCGATTTTAAACCTCCCGAGAAAATCCGTATGACGCGGTTCCAGCATCTCCGGATCGAGGTGGCAGGGTTTACTAAGCATCCGGGATGCGTAGACCGCGCCTTAACGGTGGAAAATTCGTTGGATCAGACACCAGCACCGATTACCTGAGTTGTTCACAAAGTGTCCCGCTGCTTTGCGACTCAGGGTTTGGTTAACCCAATGCTCTGTTGTAAAAGAGGCATGATGCGAGCAGAACAACCAGGGTCTCGAGCAATTGTGTTCCTTTGAGGAATACTTCAACTCACGGGTTTCCATCATATACCAACTCTTGCGTGAAGCTGCAAGCAGGTGAGACATTTATCAGCGGTCACATTTCGAGGAGATGTTCGGCAAGTGAACCGAAGGAGGTGGAACGGAACTGTGAGCTAAAAACCTCGGTGAGGTGGTGTACTACATAAGGAGACGTGTTATTCTTAGTGAATGGACTAGATCTGCTGTTTGATCCCACAACACTACAGGTAATCTGACTCCTACTCCTACGCAACAGTTATAGGATAATGCGATTCTATGGACATTGCGAATTATCGCTAACCATGCTGGACTGAATGGTAAATCAAACAGGTTCTGGCAGCAGCGAGGACCTTACACCGACCGAATATTTACCAAGTTTCTGTTGATAGCACTAAACCACGTTTTTAGCTGACCTCGGAGGCGGCAACACTATTCCGAACGAAGTCCAGGTACAGCGGTTGTCGGGGCGCCGCCGTGAAGCTGCTGGAACTCAGTGCGCATACTCGTTAACGGATCCTCTGCCACATAGAAACCCCTTAGGTTTGGTCGAGTGAGACTGTTCTTCGCAAATGGATAGCAGTGAGCGGAAAACCTATGAGGCAACGTCGATCAGATAGATAAAAAATGACAGGCAAATCTTGAAGACTTGTTGATGCCGTCCTCCCCGGTTGTTTTTCTACTCTTTATCTGGTTGATTAGTCTCGTAGTTTTTATTATACTTGGTGGTTCGCGGTTGTTATAACATGGTTCGCGTTGAGCTGTGGATAATGTTTCTCAATTTGTTAAATGGACGATTAAGAAATGCGTTGATTTGCTCTTACCTATCCTCTTATCCCACTCGGGAGTTAACTGGTCTGCTGTCCCGTGCAAAAAGGCTTTGGATAAATCTCAACAGTTTGTGGTGGTGGCGCAGTGGTTTAGTCGTTGTCACTGGAGTGCTTTAGACCTTATGGTCCGAGGTTTGAGCCCCGCCACCGTCCCCAACTTTGATGGTAGGTAGCTTAGCTGTCTTACGGTTCAACACCATACCTAACCTAGCGGGGCACTCTGTGGTTCGCCGCTCCAAGTCCCGGGGCTTAGATAACCGGGTTCCATGACTGAACCGGGGTTCACCCCATCGGCTGTTTATCACACAAAATGTGTGCAATAAAAAGCTACCAGATACAAATGTGATCTCCATTTTCTCAGCCGCTCCTAATCAGCACCGAGCACAATCCGACCTGGCAGAGCGAGGAACGGTTCAGCGAAGTCTATGGTATTGAGTTTTTTGCTTCGGATGACAGTTCGAGAGCGGTTTTCAAGCATCAGTCCTTCAAGCCTCTTTTCATTCCTAGCTCCTTCTAGGTAGTTCCACTGATCACTTTCTTGGTTTACATTGACAGTCGTTCCATCATGTTTTTTTTGTGTATATGTCACCTAAAGTGACCAGTTACGTCGCGATGACACTTGAGAGCGCCTGATGTTCTTTGACATGTTACAAACAGTAAAATTTCTTTCGTTACGCGATTACATCCTGGGGAATAGAGATCTTGCGGCGGACAAGCAGGAAGACGTGATCTGAACTATTTATTTCCTGTGGAACGCTTGATAGTCCTCCATAGATAAAGCCCGGAGAGATCTGTCAGGGAGTCATATTAATACTATATCAGCTGATGCTTTTAGGGATGTTGAAAATGCTTGCTACAAACTGCTGGTGTCTGCAAAATTCACCTGTTAGAATGTTGACCAAATCCAAATTTTCCCAGAACACGACGAATGAATTTACCCGGGGGGCCACTACGCACGAGGAGTACGGCTCGTCGAGGTACACGATTCATAAGACCTTGCAAGATGCAGCGGAATTCATATTTAGTTGCATTATCGGTTTCGTTCGTTGGTGTGTAGTTCGTGGAAATGCTTAAATCGTGCTACACTTAGCCTGGAGGATATTGTTTCCCACGAAATCAGAGCGCTGATGGCTTATTAGAGTGGCGCCATGTAGTCCAGAGTGGTTTCTAGGTACAGTACAACAGAGACAGTAGATTGTATCTACCCCTGAAACCCCTATTCCCGAGAACTATAGTCCAGAAGGCAGAATTCTAGGATACCTAAAAGATAGCCACGTAGTATCCAGATCCCAATGATTTGGTTACTTACATCTATTAAGACACTCACATTCCCACAGCCTGCTGACTTCTCAAATCGATCGCTGGGTTACGACACATTCCAGGCACTGGAGCAATAGTCCACTAAAAATTCTAAATGCGAAATATCTGTTGCTTGACCATTCTTAAAAAACCATGACGAAAACGGGCAACACCACAGCGACAAAAGTATCGTACTTTTGAGGTTCAATGTGAATAATAAAGGTTGTTGCGGTTAGTAGCATTTAGCCCACCTACAAAATATCGAACCATAGTACTGATTCGTCAATGGACTGGCTCTGAAAGAGCTGTCCATCCACATTTAACCGGTGTTGTAAACGAGATTATTGTGATGAAAATACACTTCCTGGGTACAAGTATATGAATGGACTAACAGAAGATTACCGGATATGCATGCCTGGCGAGCGGCAGGAACCGCGAAACCGGTCGTGTGCTTCCAGGGAAATTCTGTCCACCGGTTCATGTACTACTTATTATGAAATATATACATAAAAGACCAGCTTGAAAACAAGCAAGGTGCCAATGCAAAAAATGATGATAATGGTAGGAAGGGGTACAGACAAATTAAATAAAAATGGAGAAAACAGAGAAAATGAATAACGTTTAGTTTATTATCGCGCAAAGTGGCCGTTCTGTTTCAACATCTCGACGCTTGATTTGGGTATTCCATTCCACTTATCACTCTGTGCAACATTGATTTCAGCCCACAACAAACGGGTCTCGATTGAACCGACTGTGGCTGGTATTCCTCCTTTTATTTTGTTGTGTTTCATCTGTGGTGCTTCGCCGGGGTTCGTGGCATTGCTCAAATTGAACAACGCAGTCCAAAGAGTGCCGGTTTCTGATGGAATTGGAGATTAAACGTACCAACCCGAAATTGTGTTTCTTTTCTAGGACAATTCACTTGCTCGTTTCATTACCATAACCATCGCAAAACAGCAGGCCTTGGGCAGTGGTAACGGATATACTATATACTGAATTTGATTAAATGCGTCGACACAACCTCTGTCAATATCGCAAAGTGTCTTCGAGCGGCTTGGTCCGGATGATTTAGATCTCGTCCACGAACCTCAAGGTCATTGTGCGTTGAATTAAACAGGTAAGACTCAGATCAAAAATAAACAATTTCAGAACCATGAAGTTGAAGTTTTGTCATTTGAGTCTGCTAAGGGGCACAGCTGTTCCTTCGTTCCAGTTCATTCGTGGAACAGAAAAAAACATCGAAATGAGCGTCGAGATCTTAAAACGGAAACGCCGCTCTGCGCAATGCTAGCTGGCCTTGTTCACGTCGAACCCCAGGAGTACGATACTTTCGTCACTGTAGTGCTGACCCTTTCCACCATAGCTTTCGGATTAACAGTCCAGCAATAGAAATTTCGTAGTCAGGCTGTTTTACTGGATTATCGTACCGAAAGCCAAAAACAGTTGTTGTGTTTCACCTAGAATCGAGAATAATGTGAAAATCTAACGGGAAGTACGAAACATTTTTCGAATAGGCATATAAACCGTCACAAAATGGAAACAATATGACGTAGACGATTGGCAATTGCTCGGATTGAATTGACAACGTATATCCGCTAGGTTTGACTTATTACAAAACGGGGAGCTAAGCGAATCAGGGAATAGGTATACTGACTGACAATGTGGTATCGCAATGATTTTACTCTCTCCACCCCCACTCCACCACCCCGATTTCTAAATATTCCCCGAACCGAATAGAAATGGATTCCAAGGGCAAACTGATTTTAAAAGTGCAATCCACAAACCTCTTCATTGCATAGTGCGAAAACCTGGTGTAGAAAAAATATAAGACCTGAAATACCGAAAATGAACGGAGGTGTAGAACTATGAAAGTGGTCTCCAAAAGAACAGACTGCAAAAAGGAGTGTTGCTTACATGTGGCAGGAAAGGGCAGATTAGTCCACAGTTTTCAAGGAAAACAATAAAAGCTGGTATGAAGTCAGAAACAATGAAACGGTGAAAACCGGTGCAGCACAAAAATAAATAGTTTGATTATGGTCGACTAATGGCAGGGCATTCCTATCACAAAGCAGGCCATATATGTAAGGCGTTCAGACGCAGGGTTTCATGCTATCTGGCACATCCACATGTGGTGGATAGGTGAACCGTCGTCAATTTGGTAGCTGGTTGTGAATGAGGCGCGATCAAACTCATTAAATAAGTGGCCGCAGATGAGTAGCAGCAGTACTCGAGGACGTGGTGGGTTTCGTGCGGTCAGCTTTTGCCTTGTAAACCGCCACAAGTCCATAAACGGTATAGTGCTGTGGCGGTCGTGTCTCGCCAATGACTAAAGTATCTACCTCTTGTCTCGTTCTAAGACACTGGATTTCATCGGAGGCATACGAAATGAAATTCTCATTCACGAGGTAGACCAACCGAGATGACAGTCAATAATAGTGTGGATCCGTGATGGATAGCGCTTAAATCAGCTATCATAGAACATAAAACTACATAAAACTGGAAAAAAGACTCGAAACAAAAAACAGAGATTCTACGAAGAACTTCACGTAATCGATACGCAAAGGCTGGGGATGTGAGACTACGCAACTCACCGAATTTCCACAACCTTCAGAGCGAAGAGTGACTGTAAACGAAATTAGTCTAAATTCGCAGCGACGATAGAAATATCGACCACTGTTTTGGTAACTTTGGGAATATTTGTCAACTAATGCATTCCGTTTCGCGAAAGTCGCAAGCCCCACCTTTACTGCGAGACGACAGCGGCCAATTCATGCCGGACTGCGGACAAAAACTCCAATGATGAGCCAAACAATTCGGCCATCTGCTGAGGCACTCTCCCTCCCAACACTGCTGCATAGCGCCGCCAGACGTTACCGAACAATTTGAACTCAACCTTGATTCACCCAACAGACCGCAAATTGTTTTTTCCATCATGGTAATGAAAAACAGGAAGCTCCACCTCTACCAGAAACGCTGGAAACGTTACTCCGTCGAATTCGGGATATTGATATTTTCCACACAAAAATACTAGATGATAATGCCATCTGCGCGAACCACAGGTGTATCGCCCCATTCAGATGGCAGCCAAGGTTATCATATCAATTTCAAACACTTCTGAGGTCAGACTGTGTGCCAAACAAATCACGGTATAATCTTTACAAAAAAGTTTATCGCAACTATTATGCTTATTCGTTTTCTTACGCAAAGTGATACAAGAACGTCCGAAATAGGGTAGTCTTCGCCGAGAGGAAGCTGCACTGACCACATCTTTACGCTACGACGAATCCATGACATGAATTGCAGCAGCCAACTTGAGCTTGTTTTATTGACTTTTGCGCTGCATTTGACTATGTCAATAGAAAGTCACCCTAGAGCATATTACGTATTGACGGGATGCCTGATTAGTACATAAGGTTGATAAGTTTATATTACCGTAACTTAGTCTTTGGGGAGCGAAGTTGAACATTTCACCTAGATCAACAAATCGATTCAGTTAATTGACCTCTTCACACGTATCTCTGATCGAGCTGGCGACCTTGCCCATATTGTAGTGGAGGTAATGTATCTTTAGACTCCTATATACAACACATCTCCTGTCGGAGTAACGACGACAATGTTGCATTTCACGTGAGAGACGTTGCGCTTAAAGCTTCCAAGACCTTCCATCTTCCAAGTTCTCTGAACTACCATTTATTCTCCTCATACTCATCTTTTTATGCCACCCAACTGATGTGGCCGCGTTTCGAAATGTCGTCAATAAGTACTGAACGGATATATATAGAGAGGCTATCCTTGTTTCTACAAAGACGCCATCTTCGGCCATTCGGTCATGCCCTCCACCGGCTAGAAAAAGAACCCACAAGGAAAGCATTATACTGTCGATACCTTGTTCGAATTGAAAATGGCGCTTCGGAGATGAGCAAAAGACGCGGTTTAGTGAAGCAAATCGGATGTGGATATCACAGAGCTGCAGTTGGTTTTGGGTTGCGTGATTAACGCACTAACTGGATTTTTTTTTAAACTAAGTACCCACAAACCATCAGGATGCGTGGCTTAAAGGCAAAAGCATAGGGAAAACATTCGGTATCTGTGCAAACAAAGAGGCACTTAGAATAGAGGACTTGGTGAAACACAGAACAGTGACTGCAATGGTAGGGTTGGAGCAAAAACTGCCGGATAATGCAGTTGGACTTTGAATATAACGGCACTGCGTCGACGTGAGTCTTCGACGGAATAGCATCACTCACAAGACAGTGCATCTGGACACTGATCTCAATAGGTAGACAAATGTCAGGAGACTAGACGAGGTTGTTCACAGGGTGAAAGAATAAAATATTGATGGTTTAAATGAGGAAATGCTAATCTTTAAGCAAAAGAAGCGAAATGGGAGACTGAAAAGACTAAGGATAAATATGAAGATGACTATTTCTGAATGATACACAAAAGCACAACTCAATATGAAATATGAGGAGGCAGAGGGTAGGTCGGAAATTGGTCTAATCTCTCAATGAGATATAAATCTCAGATGGGAACACAGTCTATGGAAGAAAATATGTAAGACAGTACCTATAAACTTTCCTTGAGTTTTCCACAATCAGCTGCAGCCTTATTCACGGAATATGGCTTTCCCCTCCCCCTTCTGACCCCTAACACCCGTAATTTTCCTCCGCTTTCCTCAGCGTGGCAACATAATATTTCAGCAGAAAAAGCGTCCATGTATTGGGTGTTAGTAGGTAGAGATGGTAAAAAGGTTGCGAAACCTCGACGGTTTCGATGCTTAGTCGAAATTTTTCCTAACCAGCACCATTGATGGTTACCGTACTGATGAGTTTATTATCTGCCGTTGGAAAAATAAGAATTTACAAGGAGAATTGGTCCCAACCAATTTTCTCCCAAATTTCCACCTACATTTCATTCGACTATGAATTATAGCTCCTATGAACAGAAAGAATACAGCTCTACATCGCCTCCGATGGATTGGTCGCGTATTGCGTAAGCATGCCCATCGACTGCCTTTTCGTGCTCTCTTCGCACGTGCTGGGCAAGGCTGGAAGAAGCGCCGCGGCGGCCATGACATAGCATAGAGATACGAAGAAGCAGGCTTCAGCTTTGGCTTCCGTTAGTGCAGCCCGCCTTCCAGGTTGGGGCCCATGGGATTAGGATTGTCTTTGGTTAGAGATGCTACGAGATATGGCTTAGAATTCAGTGGCACGAATGCTGTACGGTTAGCCTGTTGAAGTCCCGTGCCCCATAAAAAGACGATAAACTAACACAAAAAATTCAAAAGTTGTACAATGAAACACAAAGAAATTGTTATCCCATTTATCTGTAATTTTCCACTTTAAAAGTTGAGTCATTTTACTACGTTCTGTATATATATATATATA